TTATGGTGACATTCGTTCACCATATTCTATCTTATCCACATAATAACGAAATTATTCAATTTAACTTCTCCACGTTGGAGAAATGAGCACCTTCTAACATCATCTTTATATCATTTATCCAAAGGTCTGTAACAACAGAACCTTTTACAAATTCACCCTTGAACTCGGGTGCTCTTAACTCTATTCGATACATTCATTCTATGAATTATAACAGTATAAAATTGAAAACACATCATAAAACCTTCTCTAATCTTGTACATGCACGCCCTGAGGTTTTTCGCTCTTCTCACTGCCTGCCAGGGCAGGTGAATGCTATTACCTTCAATCTATTGCCTTGTGCTTCACTTTAGAAGCTCTCATTATCATACATATAATATAACATAGCATTTTAATTCTATTAGCAAGACAGTACAGTCCTTATACTATCAGATCAGAAAATTTTTCACTTTGTGTTGGCATGTATACTTATTAAAACACTTTTGATTTCATTTTTAGCCTAAAATCAGCTAAACCGTAGCTCTGATACAATTAAATGTAACACCACAACCCGTATCCGACCCGAATACGAGTCTGAGATGTCACATTGATTTTTCAAAACCTTTTTCTTACAAAATATTAAAACATTTGAACTCATTTTAGGAAAATACCACAATATTCTATTAAATTGTGTTTCGTATAAAATTTACAATTAAAAATGTATTTATGAACAGTAAAATACGTATGAACAGTACCATATGAACAATAATAAACAGTACCTGCTACAGTACCCGAATGTTAAAATTTTCCATATTCAAAGAGGGGAACTGATTCCCCTGCTACAGGGAACCGATATCCTGCTACAGTACTGCTACAGTAACTTTCGTAAAATACGTATAAATTCATAAAATTTAAAACGTTCATCTCTATACATTTACCATTTACATATATATATACATTTAAAACATTATAAAATTCAATCATATGATTTTACAAAACCGATTAAAACATATCGGATTTAAACCTTTATTTACATGCCAACCACTATCATTGTTACAAAATACATACTATACAGTTATTTTCTGATCTGATCTTTGGAAAAGAAAAACTGACCTGTCTTGCATAACTTTTACCAATCTTCCTCTTCTCAGAACCTACGCGTGAAACAATCACACGCTAAGTCGTTGACTTAGTGAGGCATATTAAACATAAACTATAACCATATATCATTTCATATAAACAAAAGGTATACATATGCAAATACTATCATATCATATAAAAACATATATCATTAACATGCCTTTCAATACTCATATTATTGTTACTAATTACTTGTGATCATATAAGCATGTGTTGAACATTTCTATACATATCATAGAACACATATATTTCACAAAGAAACACACATAACATCCTATAATCCATGCAATACCTTTCATATCACCACAAGCATATGCATCTTATATATTGTATTTGTTAGTGTCTCTTTATTAGCCCATGGTACACTGGTGAGAACTGAAGGTATGTGAGTACACTGAGGTTGTGCACAAATGCTGTCACCACAGCTCGTATAATTGCACCGAAGTGCCACGTAGAAATTGTCCCGAAGGACTGCGTAGAAATGCACCGAAGTGCCACATAGAATTGCACCGTAGTTCCATATAAGATTGTCCATAAGGATCACATATAAATTCCTTAAGAATCATATACATATACCAATGATCAAGTAAGTGTCTCAAAAGACCTCATACATGCTCCAAAGAATATATATACGTCCCGAAGGATCACGTAGAATTTGACTCGTAGACCCTCTACTCTTGGCATGCCAACTATACCTCTAGATCTCATGACACATAACATGGGCATTATTTTTCATATTTATCACATATCATATCATCGCATAGTTCACTTACATGTAGAACATTTCCATATGATTCATATTCATATGTCACATAGCTTATACATTGTTCTTATGCCTTCTCATAGACATATATTCTTTCTCACGTTGTCACATAGGTCCATATCATATAACATATATCACATGTGCATGTAATCATATAAATCGTATCATATAACTTATATTATATCTCATGTGTTCATGTAAACATGCATGTTATATTTTGTTCACATATGTTCTTATATATACATCATATAATCCTTCCCTATAGTTCATATTTTATTTTCACATATGACATATCCCATAAATCGCATAGCACATATCAATTCATATAATCAAGTATACATACATTTCATGTCATTCACATTCTTATAATCAATACTCTATACATTATAACTATTGAAAATAGACTTATCACAAGTCCAATTCCTTATAATCCTATAAACTAAAATGCACTCATATACATACAAAGATCACATACATTTTATAAATTACTCCTTACCATAATAACTCTATCACTGGCTCATCGCAAGCCAATGTTTGATTGATAACTTAAGTACAATTAAATTGCACTCACCTTAGCCTTGCTTTGATTCGATCCTAATCCTTTGATTATTCTGGAACTTGTTTAGGCTCAATATCTACATAATTATAATATTTCAAAACACTTATCAGAAGCCTAAACTTCAAACTTGATGTTAATAACTTGAGCTAGTTTAATGAACCAAAATTCCAGAAATTCCATTTTTTTTTCTTTAGGGGGGAATCTGTACCCCCTACACAATCTAAAAATTTCGTTTAAACCCAGAAAATCATTGTTCATGCCCGAAAATTCACTATAATAACTTAAATTCTTCATGTTTCATTCACTTTTCTATTCTTAACTCAAATATACATACTTAAACTAATTTATCCATTTATTTCATCTTAAACCTCAAAATTCTATTCTCCATATAGAAATCAATAATCATACCAAATTTTTCAAGTTATCCAAACTGAATTCTAACACTTCTAACTTCTTATTCTCATAGATGACAAGTCAAATTCAACTTAAAATTCAACTTATCAATTATATTCCAAGATTTCATTCAAGAACTCAAAATCTTTAATCTCTCATATACCTTTCATCTTATTGTTTTAGAACAAATTAAGCTTTTCTTAAGCTTAATTATCATATAGTGATCAAAACCCAACCTTTAATTCAACAAATAATCAACAAAAATAGAAACTCACCTTTGCCTAGTCTTCCACGGTTGGAGAAGAAGAAAGGAGGAAGAAGATGAAATGTTTTCATCTTCACAAGTTTTTATCTCTTATTAAAGGGATAAAAATATCTTTCATGACAAATGACCATTTTGCCCTTTAATTCTTTGGATAATTATTATAAACTTTCAGGAAATATCCTCAAATAAATCATTGAACTATTCAACTATTTTACTTTAATCACCAAATTCTAAAAATTTACGATTTGGTCGCTAACCCATAGTTTGGGATATTACACTTTTCCTTGTATCTTTTCCTATCATTTTAATTCTTAATAATATAAAATTATTTTACGATGTCGATAACGCATCATGACACCAAAATGTAGTTAACAGTTATAATTGAATTTCTTTTTAACAAATAAGAAAATTATTTTGTTAAAATTATCAATAACTAAAGATGGTTTTGATAATTGATATATATATATATTTCCTTAAATAATTCAAAGGCATCAACATTCCCCTGTTTTCTTTTCATAATATATCACTAAATTAAGCTATTTCTCACTCTTGGCCCAACAATTTCCATCTCTGCAAGTACAATCTCAGATTTTGGTATAACCTTTTCAACTACATCTTTGCTCTTTTTCCTTTTTCTGCATGGTAATAACCCCAGGCGTTTTACTTAATTTTCTCTTCTGCTCTTTGTGAGTTGAGTTTGAGGAATCCAAATCGATCGATCAAATGGCTGCAATGGCTCGGTATCGTTTCTCGGAGTTGACGAGACAATTGCCAAACACGAGTGATACTCGCTGTCTCCGATCTCAACCACCACGTGTTGTTTCGTTCCTTCAAAACCAACCGTTCCCGTATAAGCTTTGCGTTCCCAAACTTCACACCCAATGCGCTGGAGGAGACGATGGAAACCACGGGGTGGTAGAGGAGATGGAGATTCCAACGATGATTCAGGGAAGGGCTTTGGCGTTCTGGGCCCTTCTCCTAAGTGGATGGAGGGACAGAGTTACAGCAGATCCCCAGTTCCCTTTCAAGGTTTTAATGGAAGAGTAGGTTGGGGTGAGTGCTTGTGTTGTTGGGGACTTGTCTACGCGTTCTAATTTTGGTCTTAATGAGCTTGGCTTCGTTTTCTCAACTCTGGTCGTCGGTTCCGTTTTGAACTTCACTCTGATGTATCTTTTGGCACCAACAGCCTCAGCATCTTCTTCAAGTCTCCCTGCTCTCTTTGCAAATTGTCCACCTAGTCATATGTTTGAACCAGGTGGTTAGACCCTGATGAAGCGTTTCGGGACTTTTGTCTACAAAGGAGCTTTATTTGCTGCTGTTGGATTTGCTGCCGGGCTAGTGGGTACTGCAATCTCATATGGATTGATCAAGATGAGGAAGAAAATGGATCCCCATTTTGAAACACCCAACAAACCTCCTCCTACCTTGTTGAATGCCCTCACCTGGGCTACACACATGGGTGTTAGCAGCAATTTGAGGTATCAAACGTCGAGTTTCTACTGGCCAAGGGACTTCCCCCCTTGGTGTTTAAGTCATCAGTCGTGGTTCTAGATGCTTAAATAATGTAGTCGGAGGAATGTCATTTGTGATACTAGCAAGGATGACTGTCTCAGAGTGTTAAAGAGAAGCCAGAAAACACGAAGAAGTTGGTGGATGGTGGTTACAATTTGTAGCCCAATCAGTGGACTGTTAAAGTGATTTTTACCCCATCATCCTTGGCTGTTTTCTATGACTTTCTTGTAACTTGGATGTATCATGTGATCATAATGTTTGTAATAAGATCCAAGATATCTCTGGATTTAATGCCATTTCGTGGGTTTAGATTTATTATCATCTACTACTACTATATCCTTCATAAAAAGAGAAAGGTAACTTTTGTATTCTCTCGCAGAATCCTGTGTCTCTCTCTGAATATAAACATTGTTACAATCTTGATTAGAGCCAAGGCTCTGAAGTGAAAATCCAAACTAGCAATGCCAAAGGATCTCCTTGTCCGTTAAAATTGTGTAAAAAGATTAAAACTAGCATACAAAAAGACCGGAATCCCATCCTCTCATTGAATCCTTCGTATCATTCTCTTTCCATAATCTGTTCCACAAACTAAAACAACCCGCAAAACACTAATGCAAAGGCCAGACTCAAGCATGTATTGAAGCACCATAGGTATGGTGCTTAAGCACGATCATCTTATCTGACAGCCTCTGGAGCAGAATTGCAGTAAGGCGTGTGCAAGCAAACTAACTTGGTGCAAGTTAAACAGAGAGCAGCCAAACCAACTCCTACAGCAAGCCCGCAGCTGCTTTTTCGCATATCTAACCTTACTGCTCTTTGAACTATTCTAACAAAGCACGGGACCAATCCTCCACAGGCCAAAACCATTACATGGTCCAGACCACTGTAGTCAATTCCTGCCAATATTGCTCCAATTGCAGATATTGGGCCTATGAAGCCGATCAGAGCTGCTGCTGCGAGAGAGCCATACCAACTGCCAGTAGCTCCAAAGATGCAGCTGGCCACTGCTGCACCACGGGGAAGCCCATGAAGGGAGACAGGAAGGACCATGTGCCGGCCAAGTCCATATGCTTTTGGTGCAGCTACTCCTAGTGCAAGTCCTTCAGCAAGTGCATGAAAAGCCACAGCTCCACATGCTAAAAATGACTTGAGTGTGAGAACACTTACTGGAAATCTTGTTAGTGTCGGTAGGTTATTAGAAGTTCTTTTGTTAGAAACAATCACCAAAATAGCAGAGCTTGAAACATGAACAAATGCACAGCCTACAGTTAGTAGCAACATAAGTGATAAGAATCCCATTTTGGAAGACAAAAGTAGTTGCAGTGGTCGCCAGGCACCAAGGATGAAGGCAATGCCAGATGCAGTACCCATGAGAAAGGCATGCTGAAAACAGAAAGCAAGAGCAAATGCAACAAGGACAAGACCACCCACTAAAGGTCCAAGACCAAAAAGCAACGAAACAACGAAGCCAGAAGCATCCTCAGAACTGGAAATTCAAAAACATTAGAATTTAGTCAATGAAGAGATAAAATGAAATCACAATACAGCAGCTATGAGTAAGGGGCAGCATTTAGGGATAAAAAGCAGATGGCCAAATTGTATCAAGGGTGACAAGCCCAAGTATCAAGCCTAATAAAAGCTACATCCGCCTAGTCCGTCTGAATCAACTAGCATGCGCAGAAAGCTATGACGGTGTCAACACAAAGGACAAAAAGGCATAATATTGTTGAAACAAAATCAGATTCATCGCTAATAAAGAGGTTGTAATTACAGCAAGATGCAGGATAGACTATGGAGAATAGCAAAAGAAACCCAAAGTAGCTGAATTTACTCATGCAATGATGTAATATCTAGCCACATATTCTTCTCAACAAACAATAGTTCAATTAACTCACTTGAAGTCATGACTGAAGTTTTGGAACAGAGTGCTTAGTGCTTCCATGAATGCGACTGAAAGCGTAGCAGCTGATGCCACTGGAGTTGGCGAGGCTTCCTATTAAAAGAATAAAGATAGAAGAGGGAGGAAAACATCATTTGATTCATTTATCTAGAGCAGAGAAGAAAGCATAAAAATTAAACATGGTCAAACAAGATTAATCTTTCCAATTTACAATTTATTGTTCAATAGAAGTTGTTCTGCAACCTTTTTAGGCTTTGCAGAAGAGAGAAAGTGAAGAAGCTTGGCAAGTTCTTTATATCGTGAACTAACCAATGAAAGTGTTCTTCATAGGACATGAATCAGAATAGGACAGAAGGTCTAGAAAGATTATTGTAAAAGCAAATACCTTAAATGCATCAGGGAGAACCTCAGCAACAACCATCCAAACCATACATCCAGCAGCAAAACCAGTACAAAAGGGCAGGAATTTATTAAATGCATCGGCACATATATAAGAAGGAACCGCAACAATTGGCTGGAAAAAGGTTTTGAGAAAATAAATTAAAGGGAATAAACAACCATTTGAGGAAACCAACTTTGCATGGAAATAATACTCAAATAAGAACAAACGTTATATTGATTTACCCTCACATGACCTTAATAGTTGATTTTTATCCTTCTTTTTCCCATTTTAACTGATGAAACAAAGTAGTCACCCACTAGTAATATAAATCACACTTGAAAGTTTGTAAGATTTCTCAAAAACCCTAGAAATCAAGTTGGTGCCTACAAATTGTCTGTTGACACTGATCCACCATTGAAGTTATTTTCCCTGGTCTTTAATTTTAATGAACTTTTCTACTTCACCATTTCTTCTTTTACTATTATTTTTCAACATGATCTTGGAAGTTCCAGTTTCATTTGATACAGATAGATGTGCTCAACGCCTGACAAACAGAATTACATGATTAGATACCTGAGGTAAGGATGTAATTATACTCCATAGCATTGCATTCTGTGGAGAAACACCCCTTGATGCAAGAACCGTGCTCACAGCCAATCCCTCTGGTATGTTATGTACAGCTATGGCCAAAGTTACCAAAAGGCCTTGAGTATAACCTTTTGAGCCGGCAAAGGAAACTCCAACGCCAGAGCCCTCTCCAAATGAATGCAGCGTCATAATTCCAACGACAAGAACAACTTTAGTTGCATCTGCTCCTTTTATATCCAGCATACTTACTTCTCCATATTGTTCAAGAAACTGAAACCCAAAAAAGATGGGGGAAAATTAAGATTTTAATATCAACTAAAAATACAACCATACCACAAAATTACAAGTTAAAAAGACAGCATTGTGGATGCCATGCAATGTCAGCGGTCTGAAACTCTCTGCAGAAGTAATAATGATCCTTCATGATCAAACATTGAAGGTCTGAAACAGAAATTTAATCTGTGGATGGTATCTTTAACACAAGGATTGAAAGTGAGGCAAAAAATGGTGATTGATCAAGCCTAATAACTGAAATAAGGAACAGTGATCACCTTCTTACAAAGCAAAATAAAAATGCCACCAGCTAAAATCCCAATCACAACCCAACTTCCAGCACCATATTCCTGCCCTTCCTGTATGAGATCAAAACTTGCAGCCAACATGACACCAGAAGCCATTCCATTGCATATCCCCGCCCAGTGAGGATCGAGCTCCACAAAGAAAAAAGGAACTGCACCTAAACCAGTTGCTGCAGCCATTGCCAATGCAAAAAGTGCAACTGTGGACGCAGAAACTCTGCTGTGACTACCCTTCCAGTCACCCATTACTTTGTTGTCATCCTCAAAACTTATGACCTCCTCCGTACCGATGCCACCTATAACACTGTTACCTACATTATTGAGGGGAGCTCTTGTCCTTTTTGAAGTTTCGTTTTGACTATCTGCTGTAATGCATTCAAGGAAGACAAGGATGAAAAATAAAGTGAGAAGCAGATGTTTGACTCTAAACAGCATTGTTTATATTTTTCCAACAAATCGATCACCAACGATGAAAGTTTCTAATCAAATAGAATCCCCCCCCTGGTGAAGCCAATCCTGCAGTATGTCTGGAAACGCACCTGCGCAATATAAGCTGGAATTAAAATGAAAAACTTCATGAAAATCGAAGTTTGATCAAGCAAATGACTCAAATGTGACCTGGAAGGGTCATTGAGTATTTTACAATGAAATGATGGGTAATGAACCATCAAAAGTAACTATAACAAAAATCCTTCATGTGTGTAGTCCAATAAATTTAAGGCAAAATTGAAAATTAGATTGTCATAATGTAACCGTACATTGTTATCTGAAACAAGAAACCCGATAATCGTTTTAACTCAGCAGAGGCTTTCCACGACAAAAAATCCCCTAAAAGAAACCCAAAGGTAATTGATAATATGAACATTAAAAGGCGCGAACATGAAGCAAGAACCTTCAGTTTCCCAGGTCCCAAATTAGTCTCTAATAGTCATGTAAAACCGAAAATGAAAACATAAAGAAAGGAGGGAAGAAAATCTATCTAATGGTGGAAAACGAAAGGCCTGAATTCTGCAATCAAGGGACAGAAACCAAAGTTTTTATTTGGTTGATGACATAAGAAGAAAAAGCAAACTTACCGAAAATAACAGAGAGAAAAGATCTTCAACGATTTTTATTGAGTTTCTCAGTGATCATACGAAGAAGAGAAAATTGGGTTCCAGAGGAACAAACACTAGCACAACATCAACATTAAAATAAAATAAAATGAAAGAATTTATTTTATATTTGTCAGCACGTTGTTTTCCAGTTTCCAGCTGCTGAAACCCCCCCCCCCCCAAGCCAGCCAACCAATCAATCCTGAAATCGGTGACGCTGAGGGACTAGTTTTTGATTGGATTGAATTTCACTTCAACAATAATAATAAATTTTAATTTATAATCATAAACATTCGGTGGTTGAAAATTTATATTTTTTTAATTATTAAAAATAACTAGAAAAAAATAAAAAGTAAATTTTCTATGTAATTTTTCTAGATTATATTTTATTAATTTTAAAATATTTTTTCAATAATTATTATATATAAAAAGATTATTCGGCCTGTAAATTATTAAAATATTTTTATTTTAAAAGATAATTAATAGTATTATCAAATTATTTTAATCGTTTTATATGTTTATATAAATGTTAATATATTAATTAAAAATCAGATAAAAGTAATTGATATAAAATTCAATTACCACTCCATTATTAATATAATTCTATACAGTAAATTTTAACATAAAAAAGTATTTTTGTTCACCAATATTACAAAATATAATTCACATGATCTTGATAATTTCACTTGTTGCCTGTGACGATCAGCGAGGATCAATAGGAGGACAATCACCACTGACAAGATCGCTTCCCGATATACTGGATGACGAAACATATGCAGTGGTACCATACGATGGTGGCTCCGTCAGTGACTTGCCGGAATATAAATGAATTGAGTCCGATGACGAAGAAACCGGATCAGTTTGAGGCATCATTTTGAGTACGTACTCTAGCTGCCTCACCACTTCCAACATGGACGGTCGCTTCTCCGGATTGTCGTTGCTGCAACTCAGGGCTAAACCAACCAGTCTCTCCATACATTCGGAAGGATACCAGCCAATCCTACTGTCTATTATAGATAACACCGTACCTGATTCATACGCTGTATTCACCTGAGTTTTGTAAACACTAGCTTTAACATCCACAACAACTATCGCATTTACCAAAATTGTAAAACATGCATAAAAAAATAGCCTTGGCAGCTATGATAGTACCTCACGGACAATGTTTTTGCCATGCCATATTGGTTGCATACCCGTTAACAGCTCCAGGAAAACAACTCCAAGGCTGTATACATCACTTTTGTCGGTCAACTTATGGGTCAGAAAGTACTCTGGATCAAGGTAACCCTGCAGCCAACAACAAAGCACTCAACTAAAACTCCGTCATGCACTATTAATTGCCATTAATATGTACAAGTTCATCTCTAAAACAAGGGGATTCAAAGTTATCCTGGAAGAGTAACGTCAACTACACTGAGGTTCCTTCATCCGACAATCTAATCAATGAGTCTTACTCGTACATGCTAAATATGGCTAAACTCACCGGTGTTCCCTTCACAATCGTGGAAACGTGATTTGGCACAGCCCCTTCTTCATCCAGGACTGGAGCTAACCGTGAGAGACCGAAATCAGAAACTTTTGCATTAAGGTTGGAGTCCAGAAGAATGTTGCTGGCTTTGATATCTCGGTGGAATACTGGAGGATTTGCTTCTGTGTGGAGGTAAAGGATTCCTTTCGCTGAACCCAGTGCAATTCGTAATCTCATTCCAAAATTCAGGTTTCTTTTAGCTTTAGCTGCATATCATGATTTACATCAATTTTACGATAACACTTTACAAGCAACGAGTATTTACCCAGGACCACAACGTTACCAGCCTTATGAGCTAGCTCAAACTAAGTAAAGCAACAAGTCCTGAAAATTTCATACCAGAAAGCCAGTCCCTCAATGTGCCATTGGGCATGAACTCATACACCAACATCTGCAAATTCACCAATAACCAAAGTATATGAATTATATCTCTGAGTCATCCCTTATACATAAAAACTGATGAATGCCCTCCATGGCCTTTTCAAAACCACTTCATAAGGACAGAACAAATGCACATGCAGACCCCAGACACACATAATTGACATAATGCAGGTGCTTATCGATGAGGACCAGAAGAACAGACCTGCTCCCCTTCTTCGTCGCAGTATCCAATCAGAGAAACCAGGTTCCGGTGATGCAACCTTGACAAATGCTTTATCTCCGTCAAAAATTCTTTTTGGCCCTGCAATGATCCTTCTTCTGCACGTTTTATGGCAACGACTGTTTTGTCAGATAAACTGCCTTTATACACTTTTCCGTATCCACCTTGTCCAACTTGAGTTGAAAAGTTGTCAGTAGCAACTACCATTTCTTTAAATGTAAAGTCTCTCACTCCTTCAATTTTCATCGAACCTTTTGTAGCTGCAAAGTGTAAAAAGAAATTTAGACTCCTTTTATGGTGATAACTGGAGGCTGTATCACTGGTGAAAAACCTTGACCACTAAGAAGCTTACATTTGCGTTTTCTTGATATTGCACGGTGAAGTCTAGCATGTCTTCTTGTGATTAGGACTATTACGACAACAGATAATACAACTGCAGAGGCAACACCCCCAACTACAACCGCTACCAAAGTGCCCTTACTAACACCCTTATTCTCAGAGTGCACTGCAGTAATAACAGATCAAACAATGCATCATTAATAATAATAATACAAGGTGCAACTATTAATGGCTTACTATTTTATTCTTAGAGTTAAATGAAGTTTCAGCATTTCCTAGTTATATTCCGGCTTAGTACCAAAGGCACAGTCCTGCTCATCTCAAATATGTACCATCGACATAACATGCCAAGGAAGTTACATTTGCTAACATTGGTTGTCTCATTTTGGAAAAAGAAAAAGATATTCTAACAATTTTTGCACTAATTTGATTTCTATATAACCAGAAGAGTGCTCTTTCTTTTTTTTCAGATGAACCAGAAGAGCACTCTTAACATAGTTAAATCTGAAACTCCAATAATATCCTAAAACTTTCAACACAAGGATATATAGGTTTTAGTGGTAAAACTCAGCTTCTCAGTTACTAGTTCAACCATATCGCCGTTATAAGAAACCATATTTTCCATTAAGTATAAAGAGGATTGCAAAATGGAACACCTACTACCTGCATAAGGTCCTTCTAGAGTGAAGTTGAGCAACTCATATGGTCCAAACACATCGCTACCATCAAAATCCCATGATGCATATATGTCTCTGATTCTCCGAACTTCGCTATCATCAAAAGTATTTGAATGGTTGACACTAGGAAAAAGCTTCAAATACATCTTTAGACGTTGTTCTTCCCAAACGGTGTATCAATTGACAGCTGATATAGGCTGAAGTTCAGAGAACGAGTCAAGTATTCCCCAAAAGGCTGCATATATGGAGGAAATAAGAAAAACTGGGGCTTTTGAGACGATATCCAATTCTAAGAGGAGCGGCACAGAGACATGGAACTGGAGACGCTGGGACATATTCATAGGACCTGGGGCATGATTTATTTTGGCATTCCACTTTCGATTTTGGAAGCATTTCATCCTCCCTGGATTGAGATCCACAGAACAGGCTTATATTCAACAAGCTCGCATTTCCGCAGACAGGATTGTCTTCAAGCCTAAATAAAAAATGCTGAAACTGTAAGGAGTTGAGAAATGGAATTCAAGAAAAATGCGTGAAAAAGGACGACTTCCTTTTGTTAATCTGCCAATACTTTCCATTATGAACAGAAGGCAATGAAAGACTAGTAATGAAATTTCTCTCTTTTCTCTGGTATTTGGATTTCTTGTGCATTACACAAGATACAGCGAATTTTCTCTTTACTAGTAAAACATTATGACCGATGTACTGCATGAAACCATGTGAAATAAGATATTTACCTGAGGATAAAATTCACCGGAGGATTAAGATTCCCTTCTATCCTTGAAAATGAATTGTTTCTGAGATCACTGCATTTTGAATATGCAAATAAATCAAAACTATTACCAATCATTCTATTTAACAACACCAATGTGTGTGCAACGTTCATGAATATATAGCTCATCAAATAAGTGCAACGTTTTAGATTAACGAGTTCTCCATTTTAGATCTTACAGCATAAGTCTACCGCTGGCATTGAAGGACACGTTCTGCCATATGTTGGTAGGTACAGGACCGATAAGGAAATTATTCTGAAGTGATCTGCAATAAACCAGCATTTAGATTCTAGACTCTGCAAATATATCCACATTAAATGCATCATTTCACAACAGGAAGTAAAGAACATTTTTAATATGCATATAGAATCTCACAGGGTCTGAAGTGAAGGAAGGTCTGAGAAACTTTCAGGAATAGATCCGTTTAGCTGGTTATCTGAAAGATCACTGCAAATAGCAAGGAGTAATTTATTATTGGGAATTTATCTTCCTTGCATTTAGATGATCAATAGAAAGTAATAGTAAAAATTCGACAAGATTAACCTATCATTGAGTTTAAATATGATGCAAAAAGGATGTCCAGTTTGAACAAAATAATTCTTAAGTGTAAATTAGCAATTTACTCACATGGTTGTCATATTATCAGAAAGCTTATTTGATGGTATGGGTCCACTGAGATGGTTCTGGCTGAGATCCCTGCCGCACGAATGTAGCAACAACAAGAGAAGTCAAGTTAGGTGGCTGCAACAAGATGGACATTATTGCACAAATCAAATACAGCTCATGATGGAAACATGAAAATCACACAATAATTTAAACAGTAACCCAGACATACAGATAGCTAAGTCTTTGTATCCTGCTAAGATCAGGGACTGCTCCCCGCAAGTTGCAATTTCTAAGATTTCTGAAAGTTACCACAAGAAATAATATAGAATCAGTACTCTTGACCTGATTGTGCAACATATTGCATGTTCAATCTTTTCCATTACTTTAAATACAAAATCAAGACAAACCTTAAACATCGAAGATTATATGTACCTTCTTACTGATATTATATCACTAAATAAACTGCAAGACTAAGAAAATGATTTGTTTATTAGCACTCACAACTTCACTAAGACGGAAAAGTTCCCATAAGAAGCTGGAATATCAGATCCGTTGAAGTTGTTGTTATCAAGCTGACTGCAGAGAGGAAGAAAACAAATGATACATGCATGCCTTATCAATGTATGCTAATTAAGAATTTAGTGAATGATTAACATTTAGTATGATATGGAGAACGAAAAAAAGCATAACATCAATAAGAAATAAGT